ATAGTATATATCACTCTTTACACACATGTGTGGATATACATAAAATTCTATTATTATAAAGTTACACATGCATGTAACTTATTTGATTAGTTATATCTCCTTACTAGAATATGAGCTCCAAGAAGCAGGAACATTGCCTACTGTATTCACTCTGTACCTCCTGCACTTAGAACAATGCCCAGACTATAATTTGTAATCAACACATTTGTTGAATGAATGAATGCATAAATGAATGGTATTGGAATATTTCCTGAGTTTACATCATTCTTTGGGAAGATTTTTTTAAATGCCACTAAATTAACTAATAGTAGCTAGTAGGAAAAAAAAATCCCTTTAATTGATGAACACATTTGTGCATTCTGAAAGAAACTTTAAGTAGCCTATTAAACACGTCTTACATCTATGAAGGACCCACAAAAATCTATAATGCGCACCTATATTATACCTGAAGGGATGTCCTTTTCTTTTGTAATTTTGTCACCTGAAGAAATACCTAGTCCAGTTATACCCTGCAAAGGGCAAATTCTACTCCACCAAATCGGTGTATTATAACTATGTAATGTTCATGGCTCATTGTGGAAAATGTGCAAACAATATAGAATTGTATTTTCTGTCTTCTTTTCACACAAAATGATGGCATAGCCTGAAGCAATCATCAGAATTAAAATTGGAAAACAATATGAAAATAATTTAAGTGGACAAATGACAACTAAATATATAAATATGATGGAAATACACATTTTGAAAGTCTTTGGTTCCTAAAACCATTTATGTGAAATGGGAAATTATTTCCTAAACAAACTCTAGTTAGTTTATCTGGAAAAGTTGTACCTTTATGATAAACAATTAACACTCTCTACGGTTAAGAAATTGTGTTTTGCAAGTAAATAGATATTGATTTTCTTTTCGCTTAAAGAATTTTTAGAACTCCATTTGTCTAGCACAAAAGTACCTTACGTTTGTTTTATACCAGACTCTGATTTCTCTATTACTGCAAATTCATATCCAAGTTAACTCTTGATGTGTCAAATATAGTGGAAAACATTTTCCTCTAGGTTACTTTCAAAGAGAGCTTCCTTGATCCAGAACATGCTTACTGTCAAAGATTCCTGCATGTTTCAGTGGGCTTTTCATCATTTCAGATTATGAAAATAAAGAGTGAGACACACACGCACATACTCACAGATGTAGTAGAACGACATTCTTTGATTAAATGATAAGTTCCATAGTGTACAGTCTTAGAGAATGATTAAATTGGCTGCTGCAGGATCTGCTCATTTGTTAATTAACTTGGTTTTATCACATAGAACATTTTTATATTATTGTAGCATACATAGTTTTTTTGGCTTCTATGAGTTGTATTTTGATAGAATGAGTTTAATCATATTGCTTAATCAAATGTTAATACTCAAATTTGTCTTATTAAGCACTTTCATGTGATATTTAATATGATCGAGTACATTTATATTTATGCTAGTGTGTAATTTATGCCATATGACTGTTAAACCATAAATGTTCACTCTCTAATATGTGTAAATTTCATGCCAGAGAAAAGATTCTTAGCAATTTTCGTAGTCTCTTCTATATATCAATATATGATATGTTTTCTATTTATGTATACACTACATAATGACCAGGCTAGCACACATATTTTAAAAGGAAAAGGGAAATGTTCATTGATGTTACCCTAGCCATTAATTTTCTTCTTAGAACTACTTTGACTTGACTCTACACATATTGATGTTGGCTTTTCATTTTGATTCATTTCAAAATGTTTTCTATTCTTCTTATACTTTCCCTTTACTCATAGTTTATTAGAAAATTATTGTTTGTTTTCAGAGACTTGGAGATTTTCTAGTAATCTCTCTGGAATTAATTTATGTTTCATTGTAGCCATACAACATATTCTGTATGACATAAATCCTTTCAGTTGATCATATGGCCCTGCATATGATCAATCTCAGTGAATGGTCCATGTATTTCTGTAAACAATATGTATTCTGTTGTCATTGGGAAGAATGTTCTATAAATATTTATGAGATATGGAGGTGGATAATGTTTTTCAAGTTTTTTGTATTCTATCAAACGCCTTTTTAAGTTTGCTATCAATGAGAGAGAAATGTTGAAATCTCCAATTAAAGTTGTGGTTTTGTCAATTTTTTCAGTTCATCAGTTTTTTACACATTTTGAAGTCTAAGATTCATACGCACTTAAGATTGCTGTGTGTTCTTGATGAATTTGTTCTTTTATCATTATAGAGAGCCTCTCTTTATTCCTGTTTTGAAGTATAATTTAACTAAAGGGCTACTCTAGCTTTCTTATGATTACTTTGTCACTAATATTCCTCTAATGCCACTAATGTTAATGGTAGAGTTATCTCTGTCGTTATATTAGATTTTTAGGCAGTACATGGTTTGTCTTTTTATTAATACAATTTCCCATATCTGCTTTTTAATTAACATCCTTAACTGTTAATTTAATGTAATTATTGATATAGCTGAATATAAAAATATGACCCCATTTTCATTCCCCTTTTTATCTGTTCTTTGTTGTTCTTTCCCTCTTTTTCATTTAATTTCCACTATTAGTTTTTTATCTATATATCTTTTTTTAAAAAATATGGTTGCTCTAGGTAAAACAGGCATTGTAAACTTACCTTAGTCTACTTTCATGCAATATACCACTTCACAAATAATAGCTGAGCTTTATAACTGTGTACACCGTTTCCTCTTCCTGCCCTTTGGATTGTTGTCATACAATTTCCTTCTATATATATTACAAATACTATAATACATTGCTATTAATTTTGCTTTGAACAGTAAATTATCTATTAAAGAACATAATAAGAAGAAAACCATTTATAACTACCCTCAGATTTGACATTTCTGACTGTTCAGTCCTTTGTGTAGATCAAATTTTACATCTGCTATGATTTTCAGTCCCCATAAAAAAAGTTAAGTTTTTATAGTGCTTGTTTGTTACTAGAGATTCTCCCAGCTTTTGTTTTATTGTAAAACAAAAACAAAAACAAAAAACTTTTCTTTTTCTTTTTTTTTTTTTTTTTTAGATTTTATTGGGGAATTGAGGGAGGGAAACAGCACTGGGAAATCGGGGGAAGGGGAACAGACAAGTTGCTGTCTTTTTGTTCTTCAGTCTAGTTGTGGAGGACGTTGCTTCACTGGCCCATGTTGGTATTATCATTGCGCTCTTCCCGGCTGAGGCAGATCGGTTGCTGGCCTCTGGACGGCCGCTTATGGAGGCTCTTGGCAGCTCACACTGGCTGCCGGCTGCTCACGCTGGCTGCTGGCCACACACGGTAGCCCATGGCAGCCCACTGCAGCCCTGCTGCAGCCTATGCCATCACCGGCGACCCACGGCAGCCCAGCTCCAGGTTGAGCTGTTGTTCGCCATCTTAGCTGTAGAGGGCAGTGTCACTGGCCCTCATGTGGGATCCGAACCAGGGCCCTGCTGCTCAGAGCTGATGTCCCAAGCCAGCTCTTAACCAATATGCCACTCGGCCGGTGTTTTTGCTTGATATAGAAGTCTATTTGACACTATACGTCCACTTTCTTCTGTCTTAAATTTTTGTTTTTTTGTTTGTTTTGAGAAGTCTGCAGTAATTCTTGTTTTTGTTCTCCTGCATATAATTTTTGTTTCTGCTAATTGCCTTGAAAATTTTTATTTTACAACTGATATTTATTCTCCATCCTCCTTTGCTACCTTTAGAATTATTCCCATAACATTTAACACCACTTAATATACTATATATTATACGTTTTACATATTTATTTTGTTTACTTTCTACCCCCCACCCCTGCACAATTGTGTGGCTTTTTATGTTTCACTTACTGATATTTTCTAACACATATCATAGTAAATTACATATAATGGATGCTGTATAAACATTAGTTATTGAGTAAATAAATGAACATCAGATAAATTTTTTTTTTATCTAGTGAGAGGGAAAAAAGAGACGATTGGGGAAAAGTTCACTGGATTTTGTAACTGCACCTATTGTGGATTGAATTGTGACTCTCCCTTCATATGTTGAACTCCTAACCTCTAGTACGTCAGAATGTGACTATATTTGAAGACAGGGCATTTTAAGAGGTAATTAAAGTAAAATGAGGTCACATGGGTGGGCCCGAATTCAACATGAATGGTGCCCTTGAAAGAGGAGATTAGGACACAGCAGACATGTATGCATAGAAGAAAGACCATGTGAGGACACAGTGAGAAGGCGGCCATCTAAACTAAGGAGAGAGGCCTCGGAGGAAACCAGAAGTGCCAGCACCTTGATCAGGGACTTGTAGCCTCCAGAACTGTGAGAAAATAAACGTTTGTTGTTGAAGCCACTCAGTCTGTGATATTACATGTATGTTATCACAGCTTGAGCATATTAATACACCTGATAATTTATTTTAAAACAGAAACAAATATGGCAAAATGTTATTACTGATTCTGGAAAGAAGTTCATAGCTCTTTATTATTTTTCCTTTTAACAATTATATATATATGTATATATAGCAATTACATATATGTATATATAGCAATTATATATATAGTGATTATATATATATATATATACACACATATATACATATACATTTATCACCATAAAACATGTTCTAAAACATAAGATTTCCTCAATAAATTATATTATATATATATATATATATATATATATATATATATATATATATATATATAAAATGAACTTGTTCTAAGCAAAGATCTCCCTTCATTAGATGATACAGTATGTGTAAAATATTGCATTGTATCCAGGACATGATAGGACTTAGTAAGTTGAGTCCCTTTCTTTTCTTCTCCCCGACCTCTATTTAGTAGAGAAATTTGTCAGTGAGTATAAATATTAATAATAGCATGTGATCAATAGCTTGTAGCTGTTACCATGTAAAAAACTCAAAATCCAAATCAAAACACAGCGTTCCATGTCTGTGAAATCTTAAACTTTCCTGAGCTGAAAATTAAAAGTCGCCCTGGTGTGATTCTGTCCTGCGCGTCTGTGCTGCCGAGGAGCAGTCGTTTACCTCCGTCCGTCTTCTCTCCCGCTCAAGTGTGTGCCACCACCCCATGGAAGATTCGATGGACATGGACATGAGCCCCCTGAGGCCCCAGAACTATCTTTTCGGTTGTGAACTAAAGGCCGACAAAGATTATCACTTTAAAGTGGATAATGATGAAAATGAGCATCAATTATCTTTAAGAACGGTCAGTTTAGGGGCTGGTGCAAAGGATGAATTGCACATTGTTGAAGCGGAGGCAATGAATTATGAAGGCAGTCCAATTAAAGTATCACTGGCAACTTTGAAAATGTCTGTACAGCCAACGGTTTCCCTTGGGGGCTTTGAAATAACACCACCTGTGGTCTTACGGTTGAAGTGTGGTTCAGGGCCTGTGCATATTAGTGGACAGCACTTAGTAGCTGTAGAAGAAGATGCAGAGTCAGAAGATGACGAGGAGGAGGACGTGAAACTCCTAAGTATATCTGGAAAGCGTTCTGCCCCTGGAAGTGGCAGCAAAGTTCCACAGAAAAAAGTAAAACTTTCTGCTGATGAAGATGACGACGACGATGATGATGAGGATGATGATGAAGATGATGATGATGATGATGAGTTTGATGATGAGGAAGCTGAAGAAAAAGCTCCTATAAAGAAATCTATTCGAGATACTCCAGCCAAAAATGCAAAAAATCAAACCAGAATGGAAAAGACTCAAAACCATCAACACCAAGATCAAAAGGTCAAGAGTCGTTCAAAAAACAGGAAAAAACTCCTAAAACATCAAAAGGGCCTAGTTCTGTAGAAGACATTAAAGCAAAAATGCAAGGAAGTATAGAAAAAGGCGGTTCTCTTCCCAAAGTGGAAGCCAAGTTCATCAATTATGTGAAGAATTGCTTCCGGATGACCGACCAGGAGGCTATTCAAGATCTCTGGCAGTGCAGAACGTCTCTTTAAGAAAATAGTTTAAACAGTTTGTTAAAATTTTCCATCTTATTTCATTTCTGTAACAGTTGATATCTGGCTGTCCTTTTTATAATGCAGAGTGAGAACTTTCCCTACCATGTCTGATAAATGTTGTCCAGGTTCTATTGCCAAGAATGTGTTGTCCAAAATGCCTGTTTAGTTTTTAAGGATGGAACTCCACCCTTTGCTTGGTTTTAAGTATGTATGGAATGTTATGATAGGACATAGTAGTAGTGGTGGTCAGACAAATGGAAATGGTGGGGAGACAAAAATATACATGTGTAATAAACTCAGTATTTTAATAAAGTAAAAAAAAGAAAGTACAAGTCAGAAATGGTCTTTTCCTGATAAATATGATAGTATAAAAATCCCACATCACCTTTCCCAAAGAGATCTGAACTTTATGACTACTTTGTCAGGGGGAGTGAATGCCACTTCATTAAGGTAAGGTGGTAGTAATGGAAAGAAATATATTTGCCCCTCTTAGCCTCCACTGACTCCTGAAGTGTAATAAACTAAATGTTTGTCCTCCACCCCACCCCCCAAATTCATATTTTGAAGCCCTAACATCCAGTGTGATTGTTTGTAGAGGTGGGGTCTTTAGGAGGTAATTATATTTAGATGAGATAATGTACATGGTGCCCCATGGTGAGATTGGTGCTCTAATAGGAAGAAGAAGAAAGCTCTCTGTCTCAGCTACGTAAGGACACAGTGAGGAGTTAGCCATCTACAAGCTAGGAAGAGTGCATTCACCAGGAAGCTAAATGAATCTGTCACCACCCTGATCAGTGACTTCCCAGCCTCTAGGACTGTGAGAAAATACATTTATGTGAAACTGCTGTTTAAACTACCCAGTCTATGGTATTTTGTTTTAGCAACTCCAGCAGACTGAGACAGGAGGCTTCTTACTTCAGCATCAGGGAGCAGGGATGGGGAGTTCTGGCTTTCATAGGCCTCCAGTAAAATGACTCTGGGTGGGAGGGGCAGGAGTGCCTTGTCACTGTTCTCCTGTGGCTTCCATATGTCATGGGGGTAAGGGTTGCCTCCATTACTTCTGGGCGGTGGTGAAAGTCCTGATTCCCCTAGGCCTCCCCGGACATGATCCTAGTAGGGAGGGGAAGTGGCTTGTTGGTGTTAGGTGGTAGGGAGTCCCCAAAATATCCCATAGGGTCTTCTTTAGCAGGGGAGGTATTTGTGGTAGAGATGTAGAGGCTCATTACCTCCTAGCAGAGATGAAGTCTAGAATCCCACTTGGTCTTTCCTGGTTGGAGTGTTATTGGCTAAACGTTTTCTGTCTTGGTAGGCCACCTAATTCCTGGTCCTTTGGTAGAGAGAACTAACTGGCTTTGCTTTAGACCAGCGGTTCTCAACCTTTCACAGGGGTCGCCTAAGACTATCAGAAAACACATATTTTCGATGGTCTTAGGAACCGAGACACCGCTCCTCTATTCGTCTCCAGGCCCACATGCATATACGCCCTCATACGAGTACCCGGTGACCCCTGTGAAAGGGTCGTTCGACCCCCAAAGGGGTCGTGACCCACAGGTTGAGAACCGCTGCTTTAGACCCTTTTTGTATGTGTGTGTCTGTTGGCATTTCTGGTTGCTGGCATTTCTGCATTTTCAGCACTCCATCTGAAATAGGTGAGGCCAAAAAAAACCCCCGTGTAGTCACCACCATGTCATTATTCATAACACAAAAACTCCTTAGCCAGTCTACTATCTCTTTATCTTTCAAGGTTGTTTTATGTATAATTTATGTTTCTCTGGAAGCTGAAGACTGCCAACTCAATTTCTTAGAATTCAAAGTAATAACATGAGATTTGGTACTTCTTTATTAAAAGGATAATTCATGTACAGAACATGGTTCAGTAGATGGCATAAAATTAGTGTGCAGTGACTTTTAGATACCCCAAAACACATGTGTGCACATACACTCCACACACATGCACTCACACTTTCCCCAAATACCTGTGCCTGTGTGGCTTGGCCTAGGCTTTTGATCCACAGAACTGGCCTCTGAGAAGAGCAGAGTTGTCAAAATCAGGGCTAATGAAATGCAAACACCAGTGGGGCAGCTCTTTGAGTTGTTTGATAAGCATTTCTTTATAAGAAATAAGTGTTTTTAAAAGTTGTTTAAACATCCAGTTATGTTCTCTGGATTCCACAAAATCATGAGATCGTAAAGAAGTGAAAAATAAACATAATCTTAATGGGCATATCTTTCAAAAGATAGGTTCGTCTAAAAGTTAATTTCAGTGACTTTATGTAGCTATGAACAGAGTTATGGAAGTTTGAATACATAAGGGAGCGGGGGAAATGAGGTAATCTATTATTGTCGTGCCACTTAGAACAGAACCAAAACTTTATGAATTGATCATAGTTTTAAGTCTAATTTTTGTACTGAGAGCAAATACTATCTTTGCTCAACGTTCTTTCTACATTTGTGCTTGAATTATTTTTAAAAAGAAGAAAAGATAGAGGCCTGACCACCGCATTGTATTTCTGAAACTGATGTTGAATAATACTGTATGTCAACTATAATTATATATACATATAACCTCGGGACATGTGAGGGTGAAAAGGGTAACTATTGCATTGTTCTGTACACCTGAAACTAACAATAAAAAAATAAATAAATAAAAAATAAAAAAAATAAAAAGAAGAAAAGAAAAATAAAGGTGGAAACTGAAACCCATGTATTTTATGCTTCTGACCGTCAACAAGCTTCACTGAAGAGAGGGCAGTTTTATGTCATTATACATTTTGGTGGATTTAGGACCTCATTAATACAGTGGCAAATTTTATCAGTTTGAACCTTGTATTTACATTTCATTTTCTGCTGTAATAATCTGCCACAAACTTGGTGGCCTTAAACAAGCTTATTATGCCACAGCTCTGCAGGGCAGAAAGTTCAACAGGAGCGTCCCTGGGCTGAAGTCACAGTGTTGGGAAGACTGCATTTCTTCCGGGAAGCTCTAGTGGAGAATTCATTTCTTTGTCTTTTCTAGCTTCTCCAGCCACCCATATTCTGTGTCTCGTGGTCTTCTTTCACCTTCATAGCCAGCAATGTGGCAACTCTGTGTCTGCATTAGTCGTCACATTTCTTTCTCTGACTCTATCTGTTCCACTTTTAAGGAAACATGGGCTCACCTAAATGATCCAATTTAAACCCTATCATAAAATCAACTGATTAGCAGCCTTAACTCCATCCACCTTAATTCACATTTGCCATGCAAGGATGGATTGATATCTTTAGGAACCATTATTATTCCTACTGCAAGTAAATTTTAAGTTTGTTGTCAAGAGGAAAAGTAACTTCTACTAATCCATTCAGGAATTTCACATTTTTGCTTTTTTAACTAGATACACCATTCAAATAATACTTTTAGATTTAGGTTAAAGCATGAATTTCCCCCCCTTTTTAGCACAGGAACTTTTGCTATAATACATAACATTGATTTATTTCAAAAATCTTTTGATTATGTACTAGTTGTGAAAGAGATTCTTTGAAGCTGATTGTAGCCCATAGGATTAAGCTACTCAAAGAAATATAAGCTATAAATGATTTGGGCATAGTTTAAAAGGTTAAACACATTAAAATATGTTTTTGCATTTTTTGCTTTTAAGTGCCTCAAAGACAGGAACTGTATCTTGTTCATCACTGCATACCTATACATTTATAAGCACATAGTAGATCCTAGTAATTGTGTATTTAATAAATGAAAGCAGTTATTAAATTATTTGAATAAATGCTTTGAAATCAACAAGTTAAATAATAGAATGTTAGAGCCTGTAGTTTTTCTAAAAACATATAACAGTGGTTAGTTTGTATCATTTAATTTTTATCATTTTTTAAAAAACTTTAACTGCTCTTAATTTAAAAATCAGAAAGGCCAAAATATAAATTATAAAGAAGCCAGTGAATTCCTCTGGGTGTAAGATAATCATTTAATTATTAGTTTGTGTTCATTTATAGAATGTTGTAAATTGTACCCTTTATATTAATACGGGCAAATGAGGTCTTAAAAATAAATGTATGACAATAGTGAGTCCTCAAATAGTACTCACTGTTGCAGTATAGAATAAATTAAGAAAGAGGAATGCTCTTCTATTTGTTTTAATTAATTTTTCATTTAGTGCCTATTTTTGCAGAGAATAGCAATATATATTTTATAAGATGCTATACTGTGAACTCATAGATTATTAATATTATGCTGAATAAAATATTTGACTTGTGTTTCACTTAACTTAGATTCTTCCAGTGCCTAAGATCTGGCAAGCAGCAGTGTCTCAGAATTGTTTTTGAGTGAGCAAAGGGATGACAGTGTTAAATTTTCCAAGTGCTTGGTCATTTGGGACAGGGAATTATATGTCCACATTTATTTTTCAATTTCCTCTATTTGCTTAAAGACTTCTGGTACACATCTGAGATCATTTTTTTGGTATTATCTCAAATCAAGTTATATCCCGAATGGTCAGTAGCCGTAAAACAAATAGATGATAAGCAAACGGATGCTAAAAATATTTTTCCAAAAAACGAGAAAACGTAAGAGACAACCCTTACAGTGGTTCTCAACCTGTGGGTTGTGACCCCTTTGGGGGTCGAATGACCCTTTCACAGGGGTCGCTGTGTACTCGAATGTGGGCGTATCTGCATGTGGGCCTGGAGACGGATAGAGGAGTGGTGTCTCGGTTCCTAAGACCATCGAAAATATGTGTTTTTCCGATGGTCTTAGGCGACCCCTGTGAAAGGTTGAGAACCGCTCCCTTAGAAGAACCACTGCTACAATCGTAAATGACTGCTTTCAGTCCACTGTTTCCTATCACTATCCCACCTAGTGGAAGTCTTTGTTCCTTAGTAAAATTTATAATTTATTTGAAATTGCCATGTATTTGTAGCAGACCTGGCTTACTGCTCACTACTTCAAAAACAGCTCTGTTTAGCTCCTATCCTCTAATGATTTTAGGCAATCTTGGATTCATAGCCCTCAATTTAAATGAAGTCTGAAATTTTTTTCCAAGATTTTTATATGTAGTATTTGCCCAGGAAGTACAGTTGAATCACCTATTGACTGTCAGGAACTTTGTGAGATGTTTTGAAATTATAGTTAATTTAGTTCCCATAGTCAAATTGTGAAGTGACATAAATATATCTATTTCAGATATTAAAAAAAAAGCCTTAAGAAAGTGAAATACAAAGTGTAATTTAAAAAAATATGGTGACTGTTCAAATAAGAAAAATTATTACAGTAGAAGACACATATATCCCTCTTAAAATACTCCTTCTTGATTAGAACACACTTATCCCATCATTCTTG